TATTTATTATCATCTTTTAATAATAAAATTAATAATAAATTATATAAAAATTCAGAAAGTAATAAAATATTATGAAAAAATTTTTCATAATATATATTAAATTACAATGAAAATGATTAAATTCGAAATAATCTAAAAACGATAAACCTGAAACAAAATATGTTAAAATATTAGCTGTTGAATTTTGAAAGTTTATATTATCATTAAAAAATTTAATATTGAACTTTGAAGGTTTTTGATAATAAAATAATATGTATTGAAATTTACACTGGTCGAAAATTGATAAAACATATACATATTGGATACCTGATATGTGCATGGTGTGTCCCTAATATCGGGCATATATCAGGTATCTGATATATATATAAAATATTTTCTACACCTATCGGGTACTCGATATATACCTGATATTAGGGACACACCATACATATATCGGGTACCCGATATGTGTATGTTTTATCAATTTTTGACCAGTGTTAACTGTTAAATTTTGATTTCGAAAGGTTACAAACTAATCAATAACCTTCAAAATCTAATGTTACAATATAATTTCGAAGGTTTTCGAATTAATATAATTACTGATGTATATATGTATTTTTATTATTTACAAATAAAATATATCTAGTGATTTTGTTAAGATCTTGTTTAAAACTTCAAAATTCATAATTAAGTATTTGTTTAAGTCTTTCTTATTTAATCTTTTTTGAAAATAACAAAAATATTTTTGTTGAGCTGAACTATAATAAAAGATTAATTTATTTTCAAATAAATATACTAAAATAGTTTCAAGAAAAATATTGATAAAATTTTTTTAAAACCTATGAAATATTTATTAAAATTAAGTTTTTTTTTTTAATAAGAATTATAAATATATCTTGATATTGATAAACAAGATCAAAAGATAATAAAAAAAGAGAAGCTCTATAGAATATAATTTTATTGTTGTGATATTTATTTTTTTATATATTAATAATTTATTTTTGTAAGAAAAAATCTGTTGACAAAGTAAGTATTTGGGTATATTTTTTTTTTATTAAATTGATTTGTATAAACTAAAATTTATGATTTTGATTAACTATAGTCACCAGAAAATCTCATAATAGAATCACTTTAGATAACTTTACTTGATTAGGTTTTTAATTTAAAAAAATAAATTACAAGACAGTAGATAATTACAAGAAATTTATTTTTTTTTTATAAAAATATTTTTCAAATAAATAAATATCAAACTTCATTTTTTTTAAAAAAATATTTAATTACTTGATCATATGAATCATATAAACTTATAGATGCTGTTCAAATTCAAAATGCTAAATCACAAATTCAAATTCCAAATTTCAAATTTCAAATTACTAATTGTCAAAATTCCAAATTTCAAATTATATCAAATTCCAAATCTCAAATACTATGAAAACTGAATTTTGATAACTGAAATGCCAAAATAATTTGAAATTTGAATGACATGTATATATGAACTTATTATAAATGGAAACTATAAGGAAGAAAAAAAGTATTTGTCCTATATTATATAGTTATCTAAAGCAATATTCATTATGAGATTTTCTGGTAACTATAGCCAATCAAATTATGAATTTTTGTTTATACAAATTAGCCTGATGAAGAAAACATGAAAAATACACTTGGTACATTAATAAAAAAATATCAAGAAGGTAATTTTACATATAATATCTACTAAACCCTACTCCTAACATAAATATTAATTAATTTCATGTAATCATATAATGGACTCTGCTTTAGAATCTTACCCAGTATCGCCATAGAAATTTCACCCCACGTGCTAAATTCATGGGTTAGGAGTGTATTTATCACCGTGTGTCACACCCTTCGAATATCAATTTTCATTAAATATTCTGGAGACTTAGAATTTTACTTACGGAAAACATATTCGTCACCGAATATTCATCATCCTGTAAAAGCAACACGTGAAAATTTCTGATCACCCGCCGAATTATGGACCAATCAAATTCAAAAAATCAAAATATCATGTGGGTAAATTGCTCCGATCAAGTTTACTTAATTGCCGATCTGTCTAAGATCGGCACTATTGTGAAATTTTCTTTTTATCATAATAAATGTGCTATTTTTTTTTTTGCTTATTCTATTTCTTATAACTTTCTGCATATATGTTACGAATTTTATGACAAATGAATAAGTTTTAATAATTTTAATGTTTACCAATCATGCAAAAAAAACACAAAATGAAGCCAAATCTGACGGGCGTGCAATGTAAACTCCTTTTTCACAATAATTAACATGCCATTTTTTTAGTTTATTCTTTTTCCTTAGTTTTTTTTACATATATGGTGTGATTTTTACAAGATCTAAATAATTGCCAATTGTGTGCGAAACGTTAAATTTCGCCCCTAATTTTAATATCCGACTTAGACGGAAAGGTAATTAATATATAGGCAATAAATGTAAATCTCAAATCCTTATCCTTATTTCATACAATTTGTGTGTATTCCAAATGATGCAAGATAGTGTCGTCCCTATATAAAAATCAACTATTTATTTGCCATATTCATTGCTTATTTGAAATTTTTTGTTTTTCTTCATTGATCCGTGTATATGTCAATGTATTAAATATAAAGTAGTACCATTTTATTCAAAAATTGTTTATTTATAAACTTTAAACCTGTCAATGAGTTAATTTACAAATATAGTTATCAAATAAAAAACTAATGTTATCTTACAATCATTATATAAGCAAAACACGTCCTTTATTTTCTTGTGTTTAAATATAAGAAGTAAATTTTATCAAAGCGAACTATGATAAATTTTAGTCAAACAATACAACGCATAAATATATTAAAAATGACAGATATAGATTTGAAAATGTTTTTATACCATGCAAAGTAAATTAAATAACGCAAATCACAAAAAAATTATCGAAGTTACAAATATTTATAAATATTATAAACACAGTATTTAATTATAATTGATTATTTTATCAGATTTGAAAAGATTTTTTTAAAGGAAGAGATGAGTTTTTAGAAATAATTGATTTCTAGATCAAAGGTCCAAAAGAATGCAGTGTTATTTACTAAATCTAAAAAAAAAAAGGGTAAAAAGGCGAAACATTCTTGAGATCTTTATGGTTTAAACATTTGATTAAATTTAAATTCCTTTAATCATATTGGAGAAAGTAATTCTCGTGCAAAATTATGCATCTGCAGTTATTCTGCATTATTACTTTTACCCCGATTTGCAGTAGCAGGACTTCATTTTTGATTGGCGTTTATTTTTGGCAATATTATTATACCTGTATCAATGAACCAATCGAGATTTTTAGTGAACCAGTCCCTTAGTTATAAATTTCACATTTTCCCAACGCCTTGGTTGTTCTTCTCTCTTCAGTTTCCCCCGCCAGTATATATACTATTTAATAAATTATTTAGAAAATTATTTAATATTTAATATTTTGAAAAAAATTAGATCAAAATGTGTGGTATCTTCGCTTATCTTAATTACCTCGTGCCCAAAGATAGAAGAACGATTGTTGATACCCTTGTGAGTGGTTTAGCTCGTCTCGAATATCGTGGTTATGATTCAGCAGGAATGGCAGTGGATGGTGACGATTCTGAACAAGTATTCATCTTTAAACAAGTTGGAAAGGTTGGCGCCTTGAGGAAGTTCTTAGCTGAAAGGGATATTGACTTTGAAAAACAATTTGTAAGTCATTGTGGTATGGCTCACACCCGTTGGGCTACCCATGGTGAACCTTCACAAAATAACAGTCACCCTCATCGCTCCGACGCGAAAGGCGAATTCACTGTTGTTCATAACGGTATTATCACCAATTATAAAGAATTAAAGACAGTTCTCGAAAAAAAAGGTTACGTTTTTGAGTCAGATACCGATACAGAAACTGTTGCCAAACTTGCAAAATATTTATATGATACTCAAAATCCAAGCCAAAATCTCAGTTTTACTGCATTAGTCAAAGGTGTCATTAAGGAATTGGTACGAAATAAAATTTATTTACTAATCTCAAATTTATCAAATTTATTGGATAATGTAATTCACAATAAAACTCTAATTCGTATTGTAATCCATCTTTTTTTTTTGGGGGGGGGGTTCATAGGAAGGTGCTTTTGCCTTAATCTTCAAGAGTACCCATTTCCCTAATGAAATGGTTGCCACGAGACGTGGATCACCACTTTTGGTTGGTGTTAAAACAGAGAAAAAATTAAAAGTTGATTTTGTTGATGTCGAATTTGGCACTGGTAAATAACTTTTATGGACGTACTTTAAAATATAGAACCTATGCAATTGCTAAATTTATATAATTTATTTACATAATTTATTTATATATGAGTAGATGAAAAAGTTCCGGTTCCGGATGGAAATTTATTGTCTCCCACAGATGGACTTCCAAAACTTAGACGTAGTCAATCACGTGCTTTCCTTAGTGAAGATGGGTTACCTCAACCAATTGAATTCTATCTTGCTTCTGATCCTTCCGCTATCGTCGAGCATACTAAACGTGTGCTCTACCTTGAAGATGACGATATTGGTCACATTAGTGAAGGAGGTGTGCTATTATTATTAGCTACTTATATTAATAGCTGGTTATTAAATTGTTTGCGTTAATTTTTTTTATTATTATTATTTTATTTATTTTATTTAATTTTATTTATTTATTTATTTATTTTTTTTTTAGAATTACATATTCACCGTTTAAGACGTGACGATGGAATATCTGCTGTTCGTTCTATCCAAACTTTGGAAATCGAGTTAGCCGCAATCATGAAAGGTTCATTCGATCATTTCATGCAAAAGGAAATTTACGAACAACCAGAATCGGTTGTAAATACCATGCGTGGTCGTGTTAATTTTGAAAGTCATAAGGTTACTCTCGGCGGTCTTAAAGCATATTTAGCGACTATAAGAAGGTGCAGACGTATAGTGTTTTGCGCGTGTGGCACTAGTTACCATTCTTGTGTGGCTGTAGGTATTATTTAACAGAATAAAAATGAGATATATCATAAATTAATTTGATTCACTAAATTCTTGATTATTATAATTACAGACTCGTGCTATTTTCGAGGAATTGACCGAGATTCCTGTATCAGTAGAATTAGCTAGTGATTTCCTAGATAGAAAGACTCCTATATTCAGAGATGATGTTTGTGTGTTTGTATCACAATCTGGAGAAACCGCTGATACCATTCTTGCTTTAAGATACTGTCTTGAACGTGGAGCTCTATGTCTTGGAATTACAAACACCGTCGGATCTAGCATTTCACGTGAAACACATTGTGGTGTTCATATTAACGCTGGTCCCGAAATTGGTGTTGCATCCACGAAGGTATTTATTAATTATTGTATTATTAATAATTGTATTATGAATTATTATTTAATTCAAATCTTATCTTTTAATATTAATATGATTCAAATTTATATAGGCATACACTTCCCAATTTATTGCTTTGGTGATGATGGCTATTCAATTGAGCGAAGATCGTTCATCCATGACACAGAGACGTAATGATATCATTGACGAACTTCATAAATTACCAGATTATATTAAACAAGTACTTAGCATTGATAAAGAATTACAAAAATTGGCTAAAGAAGTTCTTTACAAAGAAAAGAGTTTATTAATTATGGGACGTGGTTTCCAAAACGCCACATGTCTAGAAGGTGCATTGAAAATTAAGGAAGTATCATACATGCATTCTGAAGGTATTCTGGCTGGTGAATTAAAACATGGACCTTTGGCTCTTATCGATGAGAACATGCCTGTTATTCTTATCATGACAAAGGATTCATTGTATCCGGTAAATATTAGCATTCAAAAAAAGTCATTTTGTCATTTTCGATTTAGCAAATTTTATTAATTCATTAAAATGTCTTATAATATTTCTAATAAATAGAAAGTACAAAGTGCTCTTGAACAAGTCACTGCTCGTAAAGGTCAACCAATTATTATCTGTAATGATGGAGATGAGGGTATATCGAATAATTACAAGGCTATTCGTGTCCCTCAAACCGTTGATTGCCTACAGGGACTTATTACAATTATTCCTTTACAATTGTTATCATATCATTTGGCCGTATTGCACGGTGTTGATGTCGATTTCCCAAGAAATTTGGCGAAATCTGTAAGTTTTTTATTCTTTCTACCTTGATCTTTGCATGTGTATTTTTCAATTTGATCGCTAATCTGTTTCTATTTCTTTATTTAGGTGACTGTCGAATAAATTTAAAATTATAATTTTTGTTATTTTTTTTTTTTTTAAAAAAAAGTTCATGTGTATTAGTGTATTAGTATGTGTTTATGATTTTTTTTTTGGTTTTAGAGACATTTATTTAAAATTTATAATTTTGAAAAGTTTTATTCCTTATATTTATAAATAAAAATTACTGGGAATTCCGGATAAATTTAATTTCATATGTAATTTGTTTTAATATTCAATACTTGCAACACCGTATACATCACAAATATCAATGCTTTCATTCGGAAAAATTCGGACTTTACAAAAAAATAATCCGACAATAAAAACGAAATTCACCCATTACGTATAGCTAACTTACGTGTACAGTCCATAAACAGATTAATTATAAAAATTACAAATTATTTGAGGTAGAATTTTGAATTCTCTTACTTGTGAATTTACGCACGCAAATATTACAAATGGAAGATATGGAAGACGACTCTATACTTCAATTCTGTGGCATTACGAACACGGGTCATGACACAGCGGTTTCTTTCTTGGAGGTAGCTTTAACATGCCCTCTTGAACTTTTATAGTGGGTTCATTTATTTATATATCTTATCAATAGAAATGAACAGTGACATTTCTTTCGTATTATTCCTCTCGCGACAAATTAAAAGATGGCAAACGGAAATGTCGGGCAGGCAATCACTCTTTATCTTGAAACAAGAGATTTAGAAGCACCAGCTCATAACGTTCGCGGAAATACGAGAGAGGGCGCTGCAGATTCTGATATCAGCAATATCGATACGGATGTTGAAATAGCGAGACAGCTTGCTCAAGAAGATAAATCCAGAATTCGTCCACCCATCGCGCCCATACGCGACATTTTAGTAGGTGGTGACAGAACTGACATTGATTTAGGCAGTTAAGAATCCTCTTTTTGTTGATCCAGTTGACCTTTCAAAAATCCATCATTTTAACCTTTCCTTGTTTCGAAAAAAAAAAAAAAATCCTCCATTTTAACCTACCTCTTATTTCTCTTATTGCTCTTATTAGCTAGAAGAACTGGAGTTACACGCCCTCCTCCCCATCGCCGCATTCAAAATTTTGCGAATCTCGAGGGGGAATTTAATTCGAATACAGGTTTAAATCATTTTCATAAACGAATAATAACAAATTAATAAATAATGAATAATTAACAAATAGCTAACGAATAATAATTTTTTATATTATTCTATAACTAATTGGTATGAAAGCTCCAAATGATCGATTAAACGAATTATATAATCCGCCTTTTGAAATTATGTGCCCTGACAATTTTGAAAGGGTAATTATCGCGTTTATGTACAATAATTTTATGTAAAATTATTATTTATCATCAAAAAAATAATATTATCTTTGTTTTAGGCACGTACGAGAGCTCGGAATGAACATAAATGGTTAATGGTCGATATTCAAAATAATAATGTACTTTCATCTTTAGCACTTAACCGTGATTTATGGAGTGATAAGACAGTTAGGGATGTGATTAGAGAACATTTTCTTTTCCTACAAGTAAGTTTGATAAGAGAATTATTCAACAATTTCGTCATAACTATTTAGAATTATTTTAAAGACATCGATGCAGAATTATTTTTCACTTATTTTTTATTTTTTATTTTACTTAATTATTATTTAGTACGTTTCAGATAGTCAAAATGGACGACATTACATAAGTTTTTACCCAGTTGATAATTATCCACATATAGCAATAATTGATCCAAGAACGGGTTTGTAATGTGTTTTATATGATAAAATTTATTCCTCATTAAGTTAATAGGTAGCAGAATTATTTATTCGTTAGCTTTACAGGTGAAAGATTGAAAGTTTGGAGTTCCGAAATAACGCCAACCGATTTCTTAATGGCAGGTTTGTATATTTTTGATGTTTATTTACGTACGCACAAATTATTTCTTATTAAATTATTTATTATTATTTAATTGATAGTGACGGATTTCCTGGATAGATATTCATTAAATGAACAATCGAAACAATCTCCCTTAAGAAATATTATCGAAGTAATTTAATTTTTTAATTTAATATTTCAATGAAAATAAATTTCTTATTTATTTTTATGTCTTAAATCTTGCAGCCGATTCCCGATATTAATATTTCTGAAGAACAAACTGGTGCAGTTTCATCATCATCATCTTTTGACTATGAAGATACTGAAGAGATAATGATAGATGATGATGAAGAAGAAGAAAAAAATATTAAAAAACCATCAAGTATATTAAGTTTTATGATTTTTTATGATCAAAATAAATAAATACTTATAAAACAAAAATTTCATGTTAGAATCTGGGTCAGTATTTGATTCTATTCTTCCGGTAGAAAGAGACCCAGTTCAAGGACCCAACACGACTGTAATAAAATTCCGTCTTGCGGGTTAGAAAATATTTATTATAGATATTTACCACTTTATTTATTATTTGAAAAAGTTATAATACTAAAAAATTTGATTTATAGATGGAGAAACAACTCTTCGACGTTTTGGAAAGTCTGATCCCGTACGACATTTGTTCGAATTTATTAAATCGTCAGTTCCTAAAGCAGAGAAACAGCCATTTGAAGTATGTACGATTAATGCATTATAATTGGTCAAAATATATGACATTATGATACTTAATTTTATTTAATACTATTTTTTAATATTTTTTAATATTTTTTAATTAATTTTTTTTTACTTTTGTTAGCTTGTTTGCTATAGTGATAATTTGATTGAAAAGGTTAATATGTCCATCGAAGATGCGGGATTAGCAAATGTTGTTGTTAATATTATCTTTGGATAGAGGTTAGAAAAGGCATACATAGTAATTAATATATATTTGTTCATCATTTCTATTACATTTCGCAATCAATAGAAATTATATATAATATATTCAGGAATTTTGTGTTACATAATATACTTTTTTATAAAATATAAAGGAAAACATTATTGGTGGCGATTTAATTCAAATATTTAAATTAAAAAAAAAAAAAAAAAAAAAAAAAAATACTGTATCTCATTCTGTGAAAAAATTAATCTAATAAAAAATATATTGGATTATTTTTTTCCAGAAACTGAAGATTTAATTAAATTTTATTTAAAAGAAAATTTCACATGATTTCTATATCAAGGTACAGTGGGAAAATTTTTTTAGAAAAATTTAGTTATAATCTCTTCACTTACCTGAAAAAATAAAATAATAAATATTAAATTGAATATATATGTAATTTTAAATACATCAGAATTTGAAACAATGAAATTATGAATATTGTAGTGTTTTTTTTTTAATAGATTTTCTTCCATATCATTATTTATTTATTTTCCTGCGTTGAGTAATGGGCAATAAGGCGCTCTAAATCAAAATTGGGATCATTTGGGTCTGTTATGACTATAATAAATAAAAGGTATTAATTTAATATAAATTTAATAAATAACTCTTAATAAATATTAACGCGTCTAAAGATATTTGTAAACTAATTCATAATTTATATTCACAATATATTTATATAATGCAATATCAATTGTATCAATTAAATATTAATTGCATCTATTCAAACTTATTTTTTTTTTAAAAAAAAAAAAAAAGTAACAAAATACCATTTGGAGATTTTTTCGCGGCATAAGCTGCCTTTGCTTTATTGATTAATTCCTCTTTATGTTGATAATTAACTATTGCTGCTTTCATTTTCTCTGACTTTTCTAATGAATTTCGGTGCCAGAAACCATACGCAAGCCCAAGAACTAATGCCGTCCACCGAGCAACCTATATTGTTGGTATGAAGTTCCCGGTTATATGTATCATATATTTATTTCTTTGTATCTGAAATAATTGAAATTGCTTTGTGATTTTATATATCCGAGAAGAATTCTATTACTTACATTTGCAGTTGAAGAAGTTGTCATTTTAAAAAAAAAGTCAATTTAGTCAATACACAGGAATAATGAGTTTTATTTTTAAACTTGATAATTTTTTTGGGTGATACAGATCATCAAAAAATTAAAAAATTATAACTCGAATGTAGATCCACCGATTCGGACTGAGTGGATAGCTTTACACGTTTATTATCTTTAAAGAAATGTTATTCCTGTCTTAAAAACATAAACTCGATTAGGAAAGCTGAGCAGCTATCAAAAGCACTTTTTTCCACCCAGATCGTAGAAGCTTTAAATATGCATTACACAAGAATGCAACCCATATCAAGATCAATAATGATTTTCTTGTAGGTAATTTGTATGATTCTTCCCAGCTGTTTTAATATTAGCACTGGCTATTTTCTAGATAAAACTATTAATTAATAATTTAAAAATTTTTAAGAAATTAATTGTCTATTTATAGATGCATCAAAAAGATAACTATTTTGTCACATGAAGTCTTTGCCTTATACACTTACCATCACTTCCACGTGTCTAAATGTATGGGTTAGAATTTGTCAAGGGTAGCATATTTATCACCATATGTCACAACATTCAAATATCGATTTTTATTAAATATCCTAGGGACTTGGAATGCAGAAAACCTATTTGTCACATGAATTTTACGTGTAATATTTTGCTGATCACCTGTTAACTTATATAAAGGGGTAGCTTTGCCTTTCAAAAAAAAATAGAATTATTTCATCATAACAAAGTGAACGAAAGGATGGATGCCTAATGAACCCCGAGAACACCTTATATGTTTGGTAGATGAATGGTCCAGAATATTCAGAAGAGACATTCTCGTGATGTCTCTAAAACTTATGGTTAAAAAAGGTATTCTTTTCATTTGCAGTATTATCGAGTAGCTTATGCAAACCTTTTATACTTATCGCATACAAATTATTATATCCAATGATCTATGGAATGGACATGTTTTTGTGTGTTCTTTATTTTTGCGAAGTGAATATAACCTGTAACCAGCTTGATGAAACTTTTTATATAGTAATAATGGAAGTTTCTTATATTGTTTATTTACATATTTCATTAACTATATTTCTATTATAACAATTTTAACTAATTCTCTCCGAGTTCATTAATGCGATTGCTACAGCATATTTCATTCTTCTCTCTCAAAGTCAAAAGAATTGATATATCAAATAAGTAGGGTTAAAATGGATGTTCTAGCTTAGCACTAGTCATCTTAATATATTTCACACCTTCAAAACACCACCAAGCATATCAATTTTTGTATATCAATTCAAGCTTTTCAAGTCACTAGACTTGATTCTATATATCATATCAAATATGACATAAGATTTTTATTTTCCATGTCATTTTTAATATCAAAATACATTATTTTTTTATATATCTAGAACTCATTTAACTATTCAATTTTATATCAAAAAGGATAACAATTATTTATGATATACAGCTTGTTATTAAAAAAGTCTAAGAGAAATAGTGAAGGATATAAATTTAATGAATATCTTAATCTCTTCTCGAATGTGAATCAAGCTTAAATTGCATATCAATATTATTTACTATAGCAGAATTCAATCTAAAGTCAATTCTTCACAACTTTTCTGGCACAAAAAAATCTAACCTCTTGAGTATCAATATCAAAATCTAACCTCAAACCTAATCTTATAAATATCAAAATTTATATACATATCAAAAGTCTAATTTCAAACCTAACTTCATAGATACCAAAATTTATATGTATATTAAAAGTCTAACCTCATAAGTATTAAAGTCTAACCTTATTTGACATAGTTTTTTCACGTAATCTATTAACATATTGAATACTATAATAGCCTCTCTTATATAATTTACAATGACCACAAGTAGAACCAGTAGGCTTATCACAATCAATACAAGTATATCACTTTTTAACCTGATAATAATGTCAACATCCTTTAGGTCAAGTACAAACTTTGCCACAAACTTTTCCAGAGTTATGTAAATAATCACAGGTATATTCTGCTATTATTTTATATATAGGATAGAAAATTTAAATTGAACAAAAGTTTATACAGTATATATTTCAAATATTTTATATCAGGTATAAATAATTTAAATTTAACAAAAGTTTATATAATATATAAATCAAACTTCAACTTTCAATAATACATAAAAATAGAACTTGTGTATATTGTAGCAAACTTCTTTCAACATCATAAAAACTTCGTCAACATTATACTAGTAATAAAAATCAATGCCAATTAACTATTTCAGCTATTTTTAGAACTCACGTCTCCAAAGTAGTTCATTCTTCCAAAATACCTGAACCATTTCACAAATCAATTTAAAACTTGTTTCATCTTCTTTACCAATCTTGTCACCACGTGCCAACAAACAGAAAATGAATAATACTTATCAACGTACCAGGTTAACAATCAATAAACATCCAGATGAAAGGGTTAAAGAATGGGCTACTCATATTGTAGATCATTAGATAAAGTTCACTGGTCGAAAATTGATAAAACATACACATATCGGGTACCCGATATGTGCATGGTGTTTCCCTAATATCGGGCATA